ACACACACACACACACACACACACACACACACACACACATACACACATACACACACAAACAAACAAACAAACAAAACCATACATGTGGGCGATTAGCACTGGTCTGGTTTGAGCCTTCTTTCTTTTTTTGTGTATGTCAGGGAGCTTTACTTTTAATCTCCTTGTTTGTATCCCAAACTGACCATTCCTGAACTCGACCGGTTTTTGTGAGTTTTCAAGATACTGAAACCTAATTTTCTAGGTCTTTCAGAGACGGACGAGGGAGTTCTCGTGGTCTAGAGATGTCTCGTGGTCTATATGTTCACCTCTCTTTCAGTAGGTCCCGGGTTCGAAACGTGACAGCGACGGAATATTTTCTTCTCCAAGATATTCTCTTTTCACCTCCTTTCCTGCTCTCTAACCATGTTCTGTCGTCTGCTTTCGTCTCCACTTTCTGCCCTCTCCCCCCCCCCTGCTCTCTCTTCTGGGCTCCTGACTCTTTCTACAGCCTCCCTGCTGTTACTCCTTAGCTCCTTTTTATTGCTGCCTTTCACCCACACTCTTGATCTTATGGTAGGTAAGATCTAACACCTAGCCTTCTCATATAAGGGTGCTCCCCTGTGCAAGCTGCGCTCGTTAAAGACTCCTTGGAGGTCCAAAATCGATAGGAGTAGTCTTCGGCCGCCACCTGGGCAAAATTCGAAATAAATTCCTACCAAACTGAAAATGTTTAATGTGTCTCGCCTCTTCGTATGACCGTATGCAGGTGTTGACGCCGTAAAACACTTATAAAAACAAACAAACAACAGAGACGGACGTTAAATTCAGAGGCACCGCCTCTTATGCAACCTAATAGTGTTGGAAGGGGCACTAAACCAATTCACTTGCTCTGCTAATAGGCGCTTCGGGGCTCTAAACATATATGGCAGCAATTACATCGGAAATCAATATTATGCAAATGACTGTCGAATCTGATTGTTTAGATAAGCGAGTGCAACAGCTTGATATTGCTATATTAATGGATCGCATTTCATCAAAACCATGATGGAGACAGATGCTATGGACGCTTTGCAGATCTTGTCGAGAGAAAATAAACCGTCTTTTGCTTGTCTTCGTCTAGTTAGACAGTCCCAGCAACTGACACGATTTCATATATCTAGATCTATACAAATATAATTCTTTTTTTTAAGCGGGGGGGGGGGGGATTTTTTTTTGTATTGTTGTTTTGTTTGTAACAGTGTTTCGTTTCAGTAAAAGTTTTACGGCACTTGCATCACAGGTCATATAAGTGCCGAAGATTAGAGGCGTTACAAGGGAGTAAAAAACACACAAAAAGAAGGAGAGATAAGAAAGAATGAGCAAACCACACAGGAACACCCACCAACCACCCACGTAACAGTCTTAAGACACTTGCAACACAAATAGGTCACATAAGTGTCGAAGATAAGAAATGTTCCTTGAGATTAACAAACATACAAAGAAAAGAAGGAGGACAGAAAATGACATAGAAGAATGATGTTTGATGATGGGAAAGAAGGAGCAAACCACACCAGAGCACCCGTCAACCACCCTCTCTGGCTGAGTGAAAGATAACAAAGTTCCCAGCGGACAGACAGAGATACTTGATAAGAGAAATCTACTGAGAATTCAATATTGTCTTCTGTGTGCAGCAGCGAAAAGCACAGACGCCATTTTCTCAGGAACCATAAATAAATTGGAAAGGGGGGTGGGGGCTGGTTTGGGGGAGGGGGGGTCGTTTTCGGTTTGTTGGAGTTCTATTTTTAGGTTTGGTTTGGTTTTGGTTTGGTTTGGTTTGTTTTATTAAGAGTTTTACGGCACTTGCAAAACGATCAGGTCTTACAAAAGCCTAAAGTTAAAGGTGTTACAAGACAGTAGCAAACACATAGAAAAGAAAGAGGATTGATATAAGGACGATTGATGTTTGATAGGAAATAAGGAGCTAACCCCACCAGAGCACACGCCAACCACTCACCCATAAATAGGACAAACAACAAATCAGACAACTTCGCTTACAACACCTTCAGATATGACAAGAGGAGCAACAACAACAACGACAACAACAACAACAACAACAACAACAACAACAACAACAACAACAAAAAGAGTAACAATCATGTACCAATCTGTCGACTTGGAGTTTTTGTATTTGTTACTTTCTTGTAACACCTCTAATCTTCGGCACCTATATGACCTAACTGTGTTGCAAATGCCGTAAAACTCTTAGTAGAATCAGCATTTAAAATGTTAAATTGGCATGATCAACAACAAAAATAGTTCACAGAACATCTGTGTGACCTCTTTCTTTTAATGATGGTGTTTTAACGCCCCCTTCAACACAATTTAGATCATTTGGGAAGCGGGGTTCGATAGCTTGTCAGGGCGAAGCCGGGCTGAGCGGGACACAACATCCCAGCAGAAAAACCGAGATACTTAATAAAAATACTTCAATGTTCCACATACGGGAATCAAAAACAGGTCTTCTGCTTTCGATGGCGAAGCGCTTATTATGTATTGATTGGTGTAGTGATTAGTTACGACTCTTATTCCCTTGCTTTATCCCTCCCCCCCCCCCCTTTCCTCATGTCTGTTTTTATTTTTCCTCGTCTTTGCCTAATTTTGGGGGGTATT